ACTCTTCAGAGGCCCGTCTCTCGGCGTTTCTTCTAAAGCACTGCTGGGGATGGCCTTGAACCCCCAACCTGTCACTCAGCTACTGAGCATGTTTGCACCACCCATGGACTCCCCCTACCCCACCCCCATAATCTCCTTGAAGGGCACTTGGGATGTCCTGTCCTGCTCTCAGCAGGGACGTCAGTGCTGTGTGAGTCTCGACAATTTAGAACCCGGCATGCTCCGTGCCCTTGAGGGGCACCTGATCTTGTCTGGAGAGAGGGATCAGGCAGGCAAATGTGCCCCAGGACCAAGTAGGATGGGCATTACACAAGAGCTGGCCAGATGTCGAGGTGGACTTGGGAAGGGAATGGGCAGATAGGTGTGGGGACAGGGTGCTGGGAAAAAGGGCAGCAGGAGGGGGCATAGCATGCCGGGAATGGGGCAGAGCCCGACGGAGCAGGGCTTGCAGCTGGTGAGGAGGCGAAGGAGCCCAGAGAGGCCCGGGCGTTCCTGTGAGAGTTTTTATCATTTTCACGCTCGAAGTTAGGTCTCCGCTCCATTTCAAGTCGGCTTTTGCACACAGATTATTTGTTTTGTTTTTGCATGTGCCATTTTTGAAAACAAGTTAAAATAAATAACTGGGGGTTTAAAAATACATTATTGCCATGAGATGACTCACCGAGCTTGAGTGGAAAGAAAGTTTTAATTTCTAACGAGGCTGATGTTCTCAATATTTACTCTAAAATTCCGATAAGCTTAGCATTGTTAGAAACGTTTTATGTTTTAAAAAACTACTTTCATCAAGGATTTAAATAAAAGAAAAGCATATTTGAACCTGCTCTGTAAATCGTATTCTTGAAATACATCACAGACATTTTTGTTCTCGTATTAGGCTGCTCTGGACTCTAGTTTAACACAGGGGCTCTCGAATGGGGACCATTCGTCCTCTGGTGGACATTTGGCAGGAGATATTCCTGGTGGTCACACGGCAGGGTGGCAGATGTTAACTTGCATCTAGTGGGTAGAGGCCAGGGATGTTACCACACAGCCTCCAATCCATTGGATGCCCCCCACCCAGTAAACAATAATCTAGCCCCAAATACCCAGTGTGCTGAGGGAGAGAAGCCACGCATTACTGACCTCAGTGGCCACGATCAGATGAGTCTGAGGAAGGATGAGAAGGAGCTAACTCTCCTCCCCCTCCGTCACAAGCCCATCACCACGGCATTGTCCCTGCACGATGCTGAACCTTCTTCTCGTAGGCGCCAAGTAAAGCCATGGAGCCGACGCCGGCGCCACCCCAGGTGTGGCAGGGTTGGGTTTTCATTGGCTGGCTGTGTAAGTAGATCGCCAGGGTGCAGTCAAGGTATGGCCCTTCTGGGTAAGACTTAAGCTTCCAGCCTTTCTGGTCGCAGTCCAAGTGTGTTAGCCGTCGCCACCACCCAGAGACTCCTACCCACATCTGCCTTCCGGGTCTCCTCCGAAACTCTCCACATGAAGAGCAGGACTTAGAAATAAAGATTACTCTCCTAGGACTGAACACGCACCCTGGTTTTCTGTCATTGCTGCTGAAATGCCTTGGGCAAGCCTTTCCTTGCTCTCTGGGCCCCAGTTTCTCCTTGAAGTCAAGGCGGGCGTGCACTCAATGAGAGCCCTGAGCAATGTCCTGGGTGCCACGATGGGCTGCTAACCTCAATGTCAGCCGGTTCAAAACCACCAGCCACTCCTTGGGAGAAAGATGAGGCTTCCTACTCTCATAAAGAGTTGCAACCTTGGAGCTCATTCATCCTCGTGTGCGAGAGGCGGCCCAGGCACCAAGATGCCCACCAAGTGGTCTCCCGGAAGCCAGTCATGCCGGGAGCTGGTACCAGCCTCAGGACCTCAGCTGACTGAGCAACTGGAAGGTTGGCTTCCACAGGATGGTCAGTCATCAAACAGACCCGCGAGAGCCATTAGTGCACCCCATGCAGGATACACGGACCACGGGCTTGTGCTGCCCATGCTCACAAACACGTGGATCATCTATTACCCATAGAATGTGCCTCCTTGAGCCTTCAAATCATGCGCCCCTCTCTCGATGTGCACTTTCCCCTGTGGATATATATAGAACACCTCTGTATGCCCTTCGTATTGACCACAAAATGTACAGAGAATTATGGAAAAAAAGGGTGTTTGAATGCCTGTCCGGCTCTGCAGCCAGATGAAGATGAACACCGTGTTGAAATACGTCTGCCTTACACAGCGACAGCCAAGGAGAGCCAGAGGGTGAGTTTACCATGACTCCAGTAAGAACAGGAATTCAGAACACTCTTCAGAAACTATCTAGCAGATCCAAGCATTCTCTTTGTGGTTTCTTCTGATTTCTGCCAGTGGGGTTAAAGATTCTGTTACCGTTACTATGATCACTCCCAGGGGGGAGATCTCTAGATCCATTGACCATCTAGATAAAATGTGCACGGGTGTGGTAGAACGAGGAGACCCTGTGTCTTTCGGCAATTACTTGAAGAAATACCGTAATACAGTGTGTGGAAGACTTCCCGTTGGGGTGTGATTAAATGCTATCACAAGAATGGGCGCGTTCCCTTTCTGAATCCCGCCCAGTGAAGCCAGCGGAGGAGCTGGCAGGCAGTTCAGTGAGGGATGCAGCCAGAGCTCTCCCGGCCCACTGAGGCTCTGGCCCCTCAGGGATGGGGCACCTGCGCATACTCATGCCCTGTCGGTGCCAGCCCAGCCCTTACAAAGATACTGTTCCTGGCGTAGGGGGATCCTGGAACCTCAAACTCATAGAACCCTTCTTTTCCACTAAGTGCAGGCATTCCTTCATTTCAACTCACTTCGAAAATGCTCTGTTGATCAGAGCAGTGGAAGGAAGGCTGGCCTCAAGGCATTTTGGTCAAAGAAATGGCCGTGTGAAGGCCCTATTGCGGCAGTTTGTCGAAAGCACCTTGCCAAGCATTTGCAGCCACCGCCAGCTGCACCCTTGGCAGACGGGTGCACATATATCCTGTTTTCAGAATAGTTTTTGCAGATTGTACGCCGACAAAGAGATGGGGGGGCGTCTTGATAACGACATTGCATTTCTCAATGATCTGTGTTAGAATAGAATAAATCCCCTGTGCGCATCGGTGAGCACCCATGTTGCACAACAGACACCTTCTCTTGTTAATCAGGAGCTGCACAATGAAAAATAAATCCAAGAAGTATAGGGCGGTTCTACCCTTTCCTATTGGGTCGCAGTGAGTCGGCACCGATTCGTTGGCCATGAGTTTGGTTTTGGAGTTTGCAGCTCTGAGCATCTTTGACTCTCTAAAGCAGGCGTCCTCAAACTATGGCCCGCGGGCCACATGCGGCCCGCCGAGGACATTTATCCGGCCCGCTGGGTGTTTTTCCCCCGTTTGTTTTTTTACTTCAAAATAAGATGTGCAGTGTGCATAGGAATTTGTTCATAGTTTTCTTTTAAACTGTAGTCTGGCCCTCCAACGGCTCTGAGGGACCGTGAACTGGCCCCCTGTTTAAAAAGTTTGAGGACCCCTCCTCTAAAGTCCTGGGACTGGGGAACGTGGAGCCCATGTGATGCAAAGCTACCCTAATTAGGACAGGGCTTTCATAGGGAGCCGCATGGAGTCGGCAGCCCATGTTTGAAGAAGGGAATGCAGGTATTGGCTCGTGTGCTCTTGCTGGAGAAGCCCATCTCCACGGGTGACGGCCAAAATATTTAACAACCAGCACAGCTGCGCGGGGACCGGTCAGGACGGGCGGCAGCTGGGAGCAGGGCGTGCAGCCTGAAGACCTGCCTTGTCCCCTTCCGTTCTGCTCAGCCCCCTCCTGCTTTCTGTTCATTGATTTAGCCTGCTCTGCCCTCCTGTCCTGCCGGATTCTGCAGGATCCAGAGGCCCTCACTCAAACCTGTTGGGGCCTTTGCTCTCTAGCAACTACTTACACTAAATTCAAAACTCACTGCCATCGAGTTGATTCCCACGCCTGGCAACCCCACAGGCAGAGCCCTCGGAAACCCGCCAGGGCAGTGCCACCCTGCCCTCTAGGGTCGCTATGAGATGACTTGCAGGCACTGCTGTAAAAATCTCCAGGCACCCACAGGCCAGCTTAGGTATGTCTCACTGCGCATGTGCACCTGGACGACCCCTCTGAGCTCAGCACTGACTCCCCGCCGTGGCCCCTTCCCCTCCTTGCTGCCAAAGTGGTTGCTGCTGTCTGCTGCCAGAGAGTTGGTCCCGATCCACAGCAACCCTACACACAGCAGAGTGACACAGGGCCACACTCACACCTGCTTCCTGTTTGAGCCGTTGTTGCAGCCAGCATGTCCAGGGTCTTCCTCTTTCTCGCTGAGGTGGGAAACAAAGAAGACAAGGGACTGAATCCTAGCTTAGCTCCGCCCTTCACCTGCCGCAGGACTGCCTGTCTTCTAGTGCTGTTTTTACAGGCATGCTGCCTGTAGCTGACCAACGGAGATGTGTTTTCTCACAGTAGAGGAGGTTAGAGGTCTGAATTCAGGCTTCCGGCCCTAAGCCAAGGCTCTCTGTCCGTCTGTCTGTTGGCTCTGGAGGAAGGTCCATGTCTCATGGGGAGATCTTCACATGGCCGCTTGGCATCTCTCCATACTTCCTGGTGTTTAATCTCTCTTACGCCTCAGAAGACATTCACAGCAAGCTTGACTTATTAACATAACACAGTCAGCCCCTTCCTAAATGGGATGCGTCACCACAGGCAGAGAGGTCAGGATGTCTAACAACATCGATGGGCCACCAGTCAATCCCCTGCCCCTCTCAGGCTCCTTCCATGTAAGAAGAGGCACTTGGGGTGATTCTGTGAGCTCGGAGGTCCTAGTCGTTCAGTGACTGAGTGTCTACAGAAATGCAAGTCAGCAGCTGATCTCTCTCTCTCTCTCCCCCCCCCC